TTAAATGAGACGTTTGTTCAGTGACTTTTACGACCTTTCTTGCCTCAGCTGTTAAGTGAATCATTGCAGTTGATAAGTTAGTGACAGCTGTTAAGTGACTCTGGCTTCCCCATTGAGTTTGCTGACCAGAAGGTACAAAAGGTGATCACATGACCTTGGGGACGCTGCAAAGGTCGTAACTGTGAAAACACGGTCATAAGTCCCTTTTTTCCAGTGTCATCGTAACTTTGAACGGTCACTAAATGAACTGTTGTAAGTTGAGGACTACCTGTAATTGGATAACATGATACTATCATTCTATACTAAAGTAGATTTAGGAATAATGATTTTTTTTTTAATGAGGAGGAACAGTTTAATATGTATTTATTTAAATTAAATGTATATGGTCACCCATCTAATTCGGCAATTCAAGGACAATGATAATTATAAACATTTTATTTATATAAGTGTGTTTAACACATGTCTATGCTGCTTCCCATACAAATTCATCTCAAAGTGGTTTACAATAAAAACACTGAAAAATAATATTGAATGCCATCAATTCTAACTATGTGGCTAGAAGGAGTCAGAAATGATTTAAAGGTGTGAATCAATCAAACAAATTAGTTAACTGGTACCCACCTCTGTTCTTCTAATTTTAACAACTAAGAACTTTATTTCCCTCATCACCAGAAAATAAAATAGAGCTGAGGTTCCCAAGATACCAGACTGATGAGAAGCTATGTGCCCAATTATTTATCATTTTTAGGTAAACAAGCATTTTGTACTTTTGCGTCAACATCCAAACAATGCTATACTTGCCCAATCCATTCCTAATATTGTTCCAAATAAAATATTTCTTACTCCTACTAATGAATTGCAGGTAGTCCTCAGCTTACAACAGTTCATTTAGTGACCGAAGTTACAATGGCGCTGAAAAAGTAACTAATGACCGTTTTTCACACTTACAACCATTGTAGCACGTGATCAAAACTGAGACGGTTGTCAACTAGTTCATATTTATAATTTATAATTATGGCATTCTGGGGTCACGTGATCACCTTCTGACAAGCGAAATCAATGGGGAAGCCAGATTCACTTAACAAACGTGTTGCCTATTTTAACAACTGCAATGACTCGCTTAATAATTGTGGCAAGAAAAGTCTTAAAATGGGGGGAAAAACACACTTAATCACTGTCTCGCTTAGTAACAGAAATGCTGGGATCAGTTGTGACTGTAAGTTGAGGAGTACAGGTGGAACTTCTGGCCATGAACGCTTCCGTTTGTGACCAATTTGGGAGACGACCAAAGGGTTTTATCTCTGGTTGCGAACAGGTGCTCGGGTGGTGACCAAACACAGGTGCAGCGATTTTCTGTTCTGCCCCAATTTCCCCTTCCACGCCACACCATTTTTTCCCACGCATGCACTTCTGGGAATGTCAAAATCGGGTGATGACTGAATTCTCGGAACGGATTAAGGTTTAATTATATTAATTAAGGATTAAGGAACCTGAGGTTCCATTGTACCTGTAATTGCTTCTTCTAGTCTTGATTCAGTGGTGGGATTCAAATTTTTTTTACTACTGGTTCTGTGGGCATGGTTTGGTGAGCGTGGTGTGGCTTGGTGGGCATAGCTTGATGGGCATGGCAGGGGAAGGATACTGTAAAATCTCCATTCCTACCCCAATCCTGGGGAAAGGTTACTGCAAAATCCTACTCCTTCCCCACCCCCACTAACCTGATTTCCAGCTCTGTTCTCCTGTGCAGGGCAATACAAGAAGACCCAAGCAATCAGCTGGGACTCAGGAGGCAGAGAATAGATGGGGGTGGAGCCAGTCAGAGGTGGTATTTGCCAGTTTTCCGAACTACTCAAAATTTCCACTACCGCTTCTCCAGAATTGGTTAGAACCTGCTGAATACCACCTGTCTTGCTTACATCACATGTCCGGTTCCAGTGGGCTTCTTCTTGTTGATCATCACTTCAACGGAACTGCTAACCTTTATTTGAGTCCTGGTACAAGGTAACCATCTCCATAGTTGTCTTTTTTACCTCACATTTTTTTTCAGAGTCCAGCTTTCACAGCCATATTGTATATCCCCACAAGAAAGACCATTGCTTTAACTACTATAATCCGTGTTGTCATGGAAATGGCTTTATCCTTCTTGATCTTGTCTGAGTTTTGCATTGCTTAGTTCTATAGAATTAATCCCCTGACACTTCCAGCACACTGTCCATCTGCGTTCATTTCTTGGGGCCAATATAATAAAACTCGATTTTTCCATTTTTATTTTCACAATACATTTCCTTTGGACTAAAGAAGAGCAATTTGCCTGCATATCTCCATTTTTTTTTCTACCTCCAATTTTTATTCCCAACTTTCTTACTTCCCCTATGATAGTGGCACTGAATTCTTAGGTAGTCCTCGACTTATGATCACAATTGACACCAAAATTTGTGTTGCTATATGAGGCATTTGTTAAGTGAGTTTTACCCCATTTTATGGCCTTTCTTGCCCCAGTTGTTAAATGAATCATTGCAGTTGTTAAGTTAGCAATAGCAATAGCACTTAGACTTATATACCGCTTCACAGTGCTTTACAGCCCTCTCTAAGCGGTTTACAGAGTCAGCCTATTGCCCCCAACAATCTGGGTCCTCATTTTACCCACCTCAGAAGGATGGAAGGCTGAGTCAACCTTGAACCTGGTGAGATTTGAACTGCCAAATTTCAGGCAGCTGGCAGTCAGCAGAAGTAGCCTGCAGTACTGCACTCTAACCACCACTGTGGCTCATTGAGTGAATCTGGCTTCCCCATTGATTTTGCTTGTCAGAAGGTCACAAAAGGTGATCACATGACCCCAGGACACGTTAGTAATGCCTCTTCTTGGGGATCTATATTTCTCTCTCATATACCCAGAAGTTTCTATTCTTGGACCTAACTTAAAATTTTAGAAGGTAGTCCTCAACTTACGATCACAACTGAGCCCAAAGTTTCTCTTGTTAAGTGAGTTTTGCCCCATTTTACTATCTTTCTTGCTAAGTGAATCACTGAAGTTGATAAGTTGCTAACCTGGTTATTAAGTGAATCTGGCTTCCCCATTGACTCCGCTTGTCAGAAGGTCACAAAAGGTGACCTTGGGACTCTGCAACCCATCATAAATATGAACCAATTGCCAAGCATCTGCACTTTGATCATGTGTGACTCTGGGGATGCTACAACAGTCCGAAGTGTGAAAAATGGTCATAAATCACATTTTTTGGATGCCAAAAAGAGCTATTATAAGTCGAGGACTATCTTTACTGTTTTATTACAGTATGTTGTAAGCTGCCCCATGTCGTGTGCCTGTGAGATGGGCAGCATATAAGAGTCTCTGTGGCGCAGTACTGCAAGCTACTTCTGCAGCCAGCTGCCTACAGTTTGGCAGTTCAAATCCCAGCAGGCTTAAGGTTGACTCAGCCTTCCATCCTTCCGAGGTGGGTAAAATGAGGACCCAGATTGTTGAGGGCAATAGGCTGACTCTGTGAACCGCTTAGAGAGGGCTGTAAAGCACTGTGAAGCGGTATATAAGTCTATGTGCTATTGCTATTGCTATATGCATTTAAAAAATAAATACATGATTGAAGTTGTCCAGACCTTTGTGAAATAATTACTTATCCATCTCTGCAGAATTCATTGAACACGACCATGTATATCATTGTGTGTCGACTGTTATGTTTCCCAAACATCTATGGAGATTCTCACTCATCCAGGTCATGGTTGTCTCAACCTTTTGAGTTTCCCAAAGTTAGGTTTGCAGGACAGGATAAGTTAACAATTACATTGTTACACTCTAAACATCACACTATTACATTACATTATACTCTATACATCACACTACAATTTGATTAGGGTACATTTTTTGTGAAATTTGCATGGAATTCAGTTTAACTGTGGTGGCGTGATGGTTAGTGTGCAGTACTGCAGGGTACTTCTGCTGACTGCCGGCGGTCCGCAATTTGGCAGTTCGAATCTGACCAGGCTCAAGGTTGACTCAGCCTTCCATCCTTCCGAGGTCGGTAAAATGAGGGCCCAGATTGTTGGGGGCAATAGGCTGTGTAAACTGCTTAGGCTGTAAAGCACTGTGAAATGGTAGATAAGTCTTAAGTGCTATTGCTGTTGCTATTGTTATAACTACTACACTACTTATTTTATGAAACATGGGCACCCTGTAACAAGCAGCGAAAGACTTCCACAGAAGTTTGCCGAAGGAGAACCCAAGTATTTCTCTGGGGTTAGGGTTTGTCAGACTCCTGAATGGAAAATAACCTTACAACATAGTATGGGTGACTTGCAGGGCCAGGGCGACGTGCAGTAAGTTCACATGGTGCAATAGGATTGTGTGTTTGTTAGTAGGATTCACTGGGTTAGGGATTTTTCTCTCTTCACTGTGAGTTGTATTGAGTCGGAGGGGGGGGGGGTTGCATGAAAGACGCCTCAGCCAATCTCATTGTATACAATATGTTGTCTTCTGACAATAAAGGTTTGAATGTGTTTGTCCAGCCGTTGTTGTACAGATCCTTTTATCACGTGCAATAAGTACAGTTAACTCTACAACCACGGTAAATTTCACACGCTGAGAGGCGGCGTCTGCTGGAAAGGAGAAGCCAACTTTTACGCATTGTGATAGGCTCAGGAACGAGGGGCAGGTTTGGAAAACAAAGGAGACGCCCCCTTTCCCCCCCCCCCCAAAAAAAGAAGAAACAACAACAACAACAACCAGCTGGGCATTAGCCGGACCCGCTTTCTGGACGCTATTCCCTTGGTGTGGGGGGGGGGAGTTCATAAAGAGAAGCACCACCAAACGCACGTGGGCCCGCAGCGCGCGCCCCAGTCCCGTTCCCCCCCCATTCCCCCGGCAGCGAGGATCCCAGTTTTCCTCGGCTGGGCGGGGCCGAGGGCAGGAGGGGGCGGAGAGTCGGCCGGGCGCCTGCGCCAAGCCATTCCTATCGCTACTCTGGAGCTCTTGCTCGGTCTTGGTGGAATCGAGCCCGGGCGAAAGGTAACAAAACAAGCGGCGTCTTTTGTATTGGCTTAAAGGAGCCGCGGTCGGTCGGTCGGTCGGAGCCCCTCGGAGGAGAGCAAAGTAGCAAAAGAAAGGGGGCAAAGAACGGCGGCGCCAAGTGAGGGGCGAAGAATCCGGGACCGGGCGCTGCCCCGAGGGGAAAACCTCTCGGCGGGGAAAGAGAATTAGCTAAGAGGAAGAGAACCGGCCGAGATCCGCGCAGGTTGGAAAAAAACCCCAGGAAGAGAAGCGGGGCAGGACGACGACCCGGTGGTTACGATGGGAACCTCGTTGGAGGCGCCGGTGGAAGAGGCTGCGGGCATGAACCGCGCATAGTCGCTTCGGTGATGGCTTGAGCGAAGCGGCTGGAAAGTTGCCGGAGAGCTTTTTGCTCTATGCCCGGCCGGTCGGGATCCTTTGCCCGGAGCAGCCCCGCGGTGGACGTCGGCTCGATCCTTTCCCCCCACCGGCCCCTCTCCCGGTGTAAATCCCCCTTCCCTTCCTTTTGCGCGCAACTTGGCGACCCGATCGCCATGTCGAAAGTGATCCAGAAGAAAAACCACTGGACGGCCAAAGTGCACCAAGCCACGGTGAGCCGCAATGCTCAGGGCCAGCTCGGGGTCACCGTCCTCGGGGGAGCGGAGTACGGAGAGTTTCCTTACGTCGGGGCGGCCGAGGTCGAAGGGGAGGCGGCGCTGTCCGGAGACAACGGCGAGAGCAAACTTGGCGAAGGGGAGCTACTCTTGGAGGTGCAGGGTGTCCGGGTATCCGGGTTGCCCCTATACGACGTGCTGGAAGTTATCCGGAGCTGCAAGGAGCCCATTGTTTTCAAAGCCGTCAGACAAGGTGAGAGAGAGAGGCGGGCCGCTTGGCAGGACTTTGGTGCGGACTTCCAGACGGGGCGGTGGGGGGGGGGGGGGGCGGCGCCCCGGGAGCCTTTGCCTTCATTGTTTGCTGCCCTCAGCGAAGGGGGCGAGGGGCTATGAGGGAGGGTTGCCGGTCCTGATGCCTTTTTGGGGCGAAGTTGTGAGGTTCCCCCCTCCAACCTTTTTCATGAGGTGGGGTGGCTGAGGAGACCTGCCTGAATGGCTTGTTTTTCTGGTCAACACGCGCGACAGCGACGCTTTAGAATTTAGACGACCTTTCCTGCCTTTCGTGGATTCATCTTCTGTGAAATATCTGATCGGTGGTTGTTTGTTATTAAAATGAAAGCATTCCGGTCGTGTTTTCCTCAGCCATCCATCCCGTGGGACTTCTAGCTCCTAAGGGTGCCTGGGACTTAGGAAGCCGCTCTTCCTAGAATTTTAAACCCTGGATCTTTAGGTAAAATGGCATTCTGCCAAGGCATCAATCAAGCGAAGGACTTTCATTGGTTTGCTGGATCTGCAGGGATCTTAAGTTGCCTCGGGTGGGTGGGTTCTGACTGTCCAGTCCTGATGAGATCCTAAAGTTATTGGCTTTTATTGTACGGTTCTGACAGATTGTTAGGGTTGACTCCTGAACTAGTTTGATTGCTTCAAATCAAGCTTGTTGGACTTGGAGCCAGGGATAATTTGCATGTGTTTTAATTTTTATCCTTTGTACTTTGAAGTATGAGCTATGGTTTCACTTTAGCAGTCCCTCCTGTAATGTACATGGCTGAAATCCCAGACCTGCCAAAGCAGTAATCTAAAAACTAGCTTAGCTCTCCCAAGATTGACATCTTTTCTGCAGCGTGGAGCTGTAGATACCCTATTGGGTTCATAAAGAATGGTGGCAAGTCTTTTAAAAAAAAACAACCTGCCAAGAGTCAGACAAGTTAATTCCTACTTGGCTCCAACTTGGGTAGCTTTCTTATATCTTTTGAAAGACTAACAAGGTTCTTTGGTACCCTTGAAATTATATAGATGTATTATTGCATAGCTTTTGTGGAATGCATGTCATGGAATGCATGTTAAGGATTAGTCAGTAGGTTTTTTTATCCTTGTCTAATTCTTGGAAAATTTGCAGTGTCTGTCTTAGAAAAGGCTGAATTTTCCCTTACTGGGCAATTTTTGTCCCTTGGCTTGGATGCAAAAAGTTCTTGGTCTTCCATCTATCACTTTGGCAAAGCAAAGAAACTCTCTCTTTTTTTCTGTGTAGTTTGAAAGATGTGCTTTCTCCCAGGTCCACTTTACAGTATAGCCCAGGGATGTTAAACTCAAGGCCTGCGGGCTGAATCTGGCCTGCAGGGTGCTTAAATCTGGTCCACAGGGCCATCCTGGAAACAGCAAAGGACCAGTCCTCTGGCCCTCAAAGAAATCCAGTTTGACACCCCTGGTATAGCTGGACCTGGCAGATGAAGGATGTGGTGAAATATTGGGCTTTAAAAAAAAAGGAAGGGTAACTTCTCGAAGAAGAAAATTGTTAGGTAATGTTGGGTGTGCATAAGCTTCAGGTGCTTATCAGATTCCAGTTAGGACTTTATCTTTTAAACTCACAGGCAGCCAGGCAAGAAATAGGAAAGTTTAATTTGTTTGAGTGACTTCTGAGTCATTTAGATTTTTTTTTAAGGTTCCAAAATAATGCAGCTTTTCTACCTTTTTCTTTTTCCAGAAATTTCTGTACATCCTGTTTCTGAGGATTTGAAAGTGAATGAATTAGTTTGTTTTCTTTCCTCCTGGACTGCAAAGTTGCACCAGGCAGAGCCACCTTCAAATAACATTTATTCATTTTGTTTTTATTGCAGCCAGCAGTCAGTCTAGTTTCTTCTCCTCTCCCCTTATCTTGGCATTATTAAAGGAGCTGAATAAACCTACAGAAGAGAAGGAGAAAGGGCCAGAAGCAATATGTTTTGTTTGGATGCAGGACATCAATTGGGAGAAATGCATTCACCTGAGAAACTGAGTCACTATTTCTGTCTTTTCTTCTTCCTCTTCTTCTTCTTATGGATCTTATATTTCTCTCTCCTACATCCTTACGTTTCTACTCTTGGACCTAACTTAAAGTTTTACAGGTAGTCCTCGACTTATGACCATAATTGAGCCCAAAGTTTCTGTTGTTAAGGGAATTTTGCCCCATTTTACCACATTTCTTCCGACAGTTGTTAAGGGCATCACTGCAGATGATAAGTTAGAAATCTGGTTGTTAAGTGAATCTGACTTCACTTGTCAGAAGGTCACAAAAGGTGATCACGTGACCTTGGGACTCAGCAACCATCATAAATATGAACCAATTGCCAAGCATCTGCATTTTGATTACATGACCATGGAGAGGCTGCAGTGTAACTGTGAAAAACGATCATAAGTCACTTTTTTCCAGTGCTGTTGTAACTTTGGTCACTAAACAAACTGTTGTAAGTCGAGGACTACCTGTACTTCCACATCCCCTTGGTCTATAAGTGACACGGAAAGTCCGATGTTCTTGTCCAGAATTCAAAAATATTTATGATCTTGGCAAAGTTTTCTTCAGTTCACTGAATGGGGAATTTCCAGGCCGGGTGGCAACTTCTGTCAAAGAGCCAAAGAAATATTTCACTTGACTGGACTTGGAGGAATTTCTGGAGAGAAAGGGGAAGGCTTCTCCTATGGCGAAGTATCCCTTTGAATTGGAACATTTTGATTTCTCTGCTTGAGGATGACTAAGATCTGTGTATGTGAGGTTTCCCGCCTCCCCAATGGAAGCATGTGATTGCCAGCTGCCTCCTTCCTTTACGTCAAAAGGATGGCATAGACTTTGCATGGAGAATGGATTATTTTCCTTCCCCTTCTCCCCACCCCCACCCGGACTGCTGCTTGCCAGGAATGGGTTATTTTCAGCTTTACTGAAATCCCAAACATTCCTTCAAATAAGAAACTCCCCTAGCAACAGGATGCCTCTGGATCGCTTTTAGTCTGTACAAAAATACATTTTCATGTTTTCTGCCTTGGGCTGTTCAGATCCCGGTGGGCACCCTCAACAGTAAGTAGGATCTCTTGATTAAGGAAGTTGAAGATGGGCAACCTGTGGCTCTTCAACTGAATTATACCAACTAATGTCTCTTACTGTCGGCCATCTTGATTGGGATGGTTGGGAGATAATCATCCCTCAGGAGCAGCAGGGCTTTTGAGTTTTTACCCTTGAAGCCAATTGAGTCTTGGCTGTCCACCAGGACGATAACAAGAGACTTAGCAACCTTGATAAAAGAGAATTGTTGTTCCTGAAGGGATACTTAAGCTGTTGGCGACCTCACCTGAGCATCTAGCAAGTGGCTTATCTGCCATGTGGGTTTTATCCATTTTTAAAGTATAAATTTATATAATTTGTATTAAGCATTTTGTTTGTAATAGTAAAATCTAATCCAAACTAAACTTAAAGAAAAGAAGAATAGAAAGGAGTAAAATGCGCAAAAAAGGAAAAAAGAGAAGAAAAAGAAAAGACACATTCTGGTGAGAGAGAAGGTCCCTGAGGATGGGCTCCAGCACAAGTCCGAAAGCCCAGAAAACTAAACTCTGGTCCTGATGACCAATCCAGATTGGATCCTGCAACATTGTCCTGGGACACGTACATTTGCCTTCATTCATGAAAAAAAAAAATAGTAAAAAAAGAATATATAGAGAGGTGCTTCCAACTCCACAAGTAAAAACAAATGTAGTGACTTTGCCCTCCCCTCAAGATTATAAACATTTATCTCTTCATCCCATATCCCATCTTGTAACTATAAACAATTCCATAATGCATTATCTTTTCAATCCTGATGTCAACAGAAAGTCCATAAAGGGTAGCCAAAAATACCAACATATCTTGTTTTAACCATGATCAAAGGAACCACTTTCTATTTCTTCCTTTTACTTCTAACAATATTAATCTTTAGTTCATTCAAATATTGTCACAAGACTTTATTTTTCTTTGCTTTTTTTTCTTTGTTTCAATGCACAGGCCTTAACAAGCATGTTCTGTAAATACAATGGGAAAAAATTAGCCAAGTCACTTCCTTGGTTTGTCATTTGTATTTCCCTTTTAAATTTTAAAAGCACTGGATTTATTTTGTAAATCCAAATGAAACACCCTTTTCTAAATCACTCTTTTGGACTGTCAGCTCTACATCCACTTTCAATACTTATCTATCTTATCAGTTATTCTTTTCTACATCTGTCATTTCTTCAATAAAGTCTTTTGGACATAGCCTGACCATAAAAGCAGACACAGATATTTTCTGATTCTGTTCTTCAGATGTCTCCTTCAATATTTTCAATGTCATGTTTTTCCAACATTTAATAAACTTTGAATTTTTCCTCTACCTAAAAAGTTTAGTCTCCATTAATGAACAGTTTTTGAAATAATTAAATTGCTTATTTTTGTTTTGTCTTGTAGAAACCAAAACAGAATAGATTTCCCAAGAGAAGCTATTTGTTTTTTTTATAATTAATTCCAAAACCTTATTATCAAAGTTTCAGTATTTCAATTTTATGTGGACCTTTAGTCCATTTATAACTTTCTACGATCAAAATTTTATTTACCTGTTTATTCCAGATTCCTTAATTTGTTAAACACATGCATATTTTTTCTCATTCAGGATTGACATTTTCAAACATGATGTTCTAAAGGTCTCTCATAGCTTAGAAGTAATTGATGACCACTTGTGGGCAAATCTCCTGTCCTCTCATTATCCTGGGAGGTTCCAAGTAGCCAATCTATTCACTGGTTCCTTGGCCTTTGCTATGGTTGTTGGCTTTTGGAGAGCTAGCTTGTATTTGAAATACTTCTCGTGGAACAGCAATTTTATCCATATGGATATAAGGAGCATGGTTTGACTTGCACTTACAGTCATCTGGATAATATATTGTAAGCTGCTGTTAACTATATTAATTAAAAAGTGAGTCTATAGGACTGAACTTTAATGGTCTTTA